ATAAAATCAAAGTATAGGTAATGAGGAAGAAGAATGGATAAGAGAGAAAGAGAAGGATGGGAAAGTGACCAATGGGAGCAGGTATTTGGGGGGGGGGGGGGGGGGGGGGGGGGGGGGGGGGGCAGGGATGAGGACGGGGAAGGAGGTGGGCAAGGTGGGTGGGTGTTAGGGAGCAGCAGAAGGTGAAAGATTAATGTAACTGATGTATAAGAAAGCATCAGAGAAAATTAGAGGCCCTATCTCAGGATATGGAGAGGTAAGTTGCTTGGGAGAGGAAGGACATATGCACAGGGATGGTGGAGGAAAGAGAAAGTATGTAGACTGGGGGAAAGTTAGTGGTTAAGTGGTTAATTCCCATGTCAGCCTTAATTATACACACTGGAGAAGACATAATTTGACATCAATTTAGCAATTTATTGGGGTGGTAAAATCCATAGCAACCCTTAAAACATTCAGTTTGGTTACTTCTTTACAACCTGACCACCCCTTTAAATGACTTCAACTCAACTAGGATTAAGTACTTGGCTTGTCTCACTATGGAATGACAGGGTTAACAGACTGTTGTATATCTCTAGTGCTAGAATTTGCATCCTGGAATGACTGTCCGTTGAGAAGAGTTTTTAGCTAAAGTAGAACAGCCATTAATGTGTATTGAATAGTCACTAAAACACTAGACCAACAACAGTAAGGGTCTGGTCCTTTTTATGTTTTCTTGTCTCGCCTTTCATCATAAATACAGTCATTACAAGGATTTATAATAGAATGCTAAAAACACTAAAAAGAATTAGGTTTTTTTTTTTCAACATTTAAAATTTTTTATTGATTTTCAGCAGTTTTCAGTGACATCACAAAATAAGTAATTAAGACTACATACCTAGAATTACCATAAAGTTAGACTAAATACAACAAAGTAAGGCATCAAGCCATCAAGCACCATCTAGTTAAATGGGTGATGACTAAATACAACAAAGGAAAGCATTAAGCCATCACGCACCATCTAGTAAAATGGGTGATGACTAAATACAACAAAGTAAGGCATCAAGCCATCACACACCATCTAGTAAAATGAGTAATGACTAAATACAACAAAGTAAGGCATCAAGCCATCACACACCATCTAGTAAAATGAGTAATGACTAAATTCAACAAAGGAAAGCATTAAGCCATCACGCACCATCTAGTAAAATGGGTGATGACTAAATACAGCAAAGTAAAGCATCAAGCCATCACGCACCATCTAGTTAAATGGGTGATGACTAAATACAACAAAGGAAAGCATTAAGCCATCACGCACCATCTAGTAAAATGGGTGATGACTAAATACAGCAAAGTAAAGCATCAAGCCATCACGCACCATCTAGTTAAATGGGTGATGACTAAATACAACAAAGGAAAGCATTAAGCCATCACGCACCATCTAGTAAAATGAGTAATGACTAAATACAACAAAGTAAGGCATCAAGCCATCATGCACCATCTAGTAAAATGAGTAATGACTAAATACAACAAAGGAAAGCATTAAGCCATCACGCACCATCTAGTAAAATGGGTGATGACTAAATACAACAAAGTAAGGCATCAAGCCATCACACACCATCTAGTAAAATGGGTGATGACTAAATACAACAAAGGAAGGCATCAAGCCATCACACACCATCTATTAAAATGGGTGATAGAAAGCCTGATAAATTTATCATCAACAAGTATACTAGGTGTGCAAAACAGTCCCAAGGGAAGGGCAAAGACTTGGAATCCCAAGGGAAAGGCAAAGACTGGGAATCCCAAGGGAAGGGCAAAGACGGGGAATCCCAAGGGAAGGGCAAAGACTGGGAATCCCACTGGGAATCCCAAGGGAAGGGCAAAGACTTGGAATCCCAAGGGAAGGGCAAAGACTGGGAAGGGGGACCTAAGGAGTCAACCAGCATTTCCCTGAATAATTTTTGGATAAACTCTTGCCTAAGAAAATTTCTACCATTTCTGATCAAAATCAGACTAGCGTTCTCCAAGAAAGAGCGAAGTGATATTGAAAACGCACTATGTGACTCTGTTTTGGATGCTGTGACCAAGGTCATATGGGGTCAGCAATTTGCCAAGTATGGATAAAAAGTTGATTCCTCAGTGTTGGCACTGTTGTCAAGATATTGTAAGGTTTGTTAATGGTTTAAGTGTTAGGTTATCTGATGTGAAAATAGGTCAGCCATTACTGTTGTAAATTTTGTCACTGTGACCTACTTTATCAGTTCACATTTTCCAGCTTAATTCATAAGCATTAAAACGTGTTACATACCTACATAGCCAAAAACACTCAAATATAGAGCTTTTAAGAACTTAACAAATATTTTTTGATCATGTTATATCTCCAATTTTGACCCCCAATCTGTTGTTTTGAAAAACATACCATTACTCTGCTGCAGATCCTAAAGTATTTTTCTGCGAAAAAATCAATCTTGTCACTGAATGGCCACAGAGATGGGCCAGGGGGGCCACGGGGGCCACAGAGATGGGCCACATCACATCCCCTCCTTTTTGTATTACTTAAGTTATTAAATAAGGAAGACTTGTCTGCTAATAGGTGGTAATATTGGATTTAAATCCTGTTAAATAAAAAGAAGCAATATCCTGCGAGAAAACAGCTGGTGTATTCTCAACTCCTTCAGTTCTCTCATTGAATAATTTGAATGTGTGACATAAAACCAATCAATTTCCCGTACCATCATGCTTCCGATTTCCCATTTATTCTCGCATGTGATCAGCACATTTGCTTCATTCAAACAAACGTGAAATTTGTACCTTTCAAAATCTGAAATGTGATTTGGGGGGGAAAAAAATGAAACTGGTCGGAAAAAAATCTTTGTGGACTATAAGTTTAGGATGATTACATTTGTATATACAGGATTCAGTAAAAAAACATTTTTTCTCGTCAGATTGAGGGATGAGATCGTAAAAATTTGAAGGAGAAAATCACAGCTTTGAGAAAAGTCTGTTGTCATTAGTGGAGTTGGAAACATGTTTCACTGTCTGCGGGGAAAAATTAATGCTCTGTCTGTGAATAGGACTTGACTATGGACAGGAAAGATCTGACACAGGAAAAATGTGTCTCCATTATTTCATGCTGACTATTGTGCATTTTAATTTGAATTCGGAAGGCCAAAGTTCCTTCCCCAGAGCTTGGAAACTGATGTGTCACATGTCTGTAGATCTTTTTATTTACTTTTTTTTTGTTATGATTATTTTTCAATTTATTCGTTTTGTCATATGTTTTTTTTTTTTCAATTGAATGTGACCAGACAAGGAACTGGCAAAGTTGTGTGTCATTTTAGAATCTTCTGTGACATTTTCTGTCGTCATACTCTCTTCAAAATTGTCTGAAAAACATCGTTAGCCATTTGGTTCCTGCTAGTGTCTGAAATTCTTCAAGACGACTATAAATTTTGTGAAGTAATATTACTAGAGGAAGTGTTTCTGAATTACCTGTGGGGTTTCAAACTCATTTTCTGTATTATGTGATTGAGTTCTGTTTTTTTCTTTCATCAAAACATTGGCTCAGCTTTATGCATAAATTTCCTGTATCAGTTCCCATATTTCGTCCCTTGATATTTGTTATTGAAAGATTCGTTTAAAGAATAGTTTTGAAGTTAATTTTATTGGAGGGTATTTGGAAGCACGAAAATGAAATAAGAGGGTGGCGTTTATCTTTGTCTCTGGTGAGTCATCTGAAGGTTACAAGACTAGGACCAGGTCTCAGGAACAAACGGGCACATAGCACAGCACTACAGATCAATCTGGTCCGGTTCAAGTAGCCTTCCTCCATAGGATGCTTCAGAATCTCATATTTATATACGTGACCTCGTGGGTACTCTGGGATCACATGTTACAGAAGTACCATATAGCCGGTAATTTTTGATGGGTCAAAGTTTTGACAATTTTCTTCAAAAGCGATCAAAATTCAAATTTCCTGATGTGGACATTAAACAACATCTGATATACACAGGTCTCGTTATTTTACAGATTAAATTTCTGCGATCATGTGAACGTACAACAAACTTACAAAAATACCGTCCCCAAGAAATAGGCTATACAATGCGTTTGTTGATGATCATGAACACCTTTTCAGATTGAAAAGTTCATGAAAAAAGGTCACCAGAATCGATATTCATAATTCTAAAGATCGTTCTTTAAAGAACTTGATTCCAATGTAATCCTTTATATGGAATCAGAGTATAGCCTTATTTGATGATTCAAAATACAATACAGGCCCATTGAACCTCTTGTCATGTCTTCTTATAGCTGTATGTACTATTATTTTCTTTCTATGTGTTTGCAAAAACTTCAAAGTGAAAATTAGAAACTTTTCACAGCATTTAAAGATCATGTCTTCGATAATCCCCATTAAAGCATAGACATAGGGATGACATTTATTTTCTTAAGTTATGGCGGCATATACGAGTGTGATGAATCACTCTGCCTGTAGTTCATGGCTGTCAAATTCTCCATTTAAGTTACTAATAGGGGGCCAGCTATACGATGTCTTCTCCCCGAGTCCTCTTTAGTTAGCTGTGGAGCTCATATTGTTGCTGCTTCTATAAGTTGTTGCTTTTAATTTCGTGTCTGTTGGAAAAAATCTCTAAAAGTTCAATTGCAGGTATTTTTTTTTTTAGTGTGGAATATATTCTTTAAAAAAATCATATGAATATCATTTGCACATAGTATGAAGTAATGACTAAATTTGTGGCTTAAACATAACCAATTACTGTATTAAGTGATAAAGCCATGCTTGCTTATAAGCCACCTGCAGATTTACCAACCAATGATATTGTGTTGTACTACAATAAGCCCTGGATCTCCTGAATCTCAGTCAGAATTTTGGTGTTGGACATTGTGGGCTTATTGCATGATAAGTGCAAAAAGGTGATTGTCTTAATATTTTCAGGAAATCAGTAAAATGTGAAATTTTAGATTAATTTCTTGTGTTAAAACTGATGATTTTTCTGTTGTAGGAGCTTTACTGCTTCCCCAGCCTATGCTGCAGCTGGCAACACACCAATTTCCTCGGAGGACATGAAATCACGTATGATGTCACGTATCAAGGATACGACCTCCAAAGCAAACTTGTCCACCATCTTCACCAGGAAAAAGTAGTCAAACAGGCAAACATTGAGACAACCTCTGATGAAAATTAATCCATTATTGTCTCCAGGAAAATGTAGTGAAGCTTTCTAATATTGATCTCCACCATCAGCGGCAGGAAAAAGTAGCCAAACATGCAAACAAATGAGACAACTTCAAATGCAAGCTTTTTACTCATTATCACCAGGAAAAAGTAGTCAATCATCTGAACATCTCCACCATCTTTTACCCTTTACCAGTAAAAAGTAATAAAAAAACTTCTTAAGATCTATCATTACAAGGAAAAATTAGTCAAATATAGAACCCAACCTTTGCGTTAACTCAACAAGAGAAGGTATTTTTATACCCCTGTTTTGTTTAAGAGTGAGTGAAGATGGGGAGGGGTGTTCAAAATCACTTGCATTTCTATTCTTAAAGTTATCTAGACTGTGAACCCATACCAACAAAAGTGTGAGAGTGCATTCCCTTGTTAACTAATGGTTTATATTTTAGATAAACTTTTGTATAATGATGAGAGACTTGAACAATGTCTTTGTAAGGTTTTAGCTCCACAAGTATTCACTCCTAATTTGTAACGCTGTCATACATGTATATGACTTAACAGCTTTGAAATATTTAAACAAAAGCTGAGTTTCAAATTTGTTGCTTGATGAATAAAATGATCTGCCAATGTTTTTTTTTTCAATGAAACGTCACATTTATTTCACATGCAAACAAGAAGCCATTTTCTACATTCAATTTGATTTTTCTTACGAAAAAAAAAAAAAATCTGCCTTATGAATAAAGATCAACAAGCAGTACTTGGTATATTATAAATGTAGATTATTTGGTTCTGCACGTATTTCATGTCGGCCGTTAGCAGATGGTGAGAAAAGACTGTATAAACACATAGTGATTTGTGATAATGAATAGTAAGTATTGCTTGCCATCCATTTTCTGTTCAATGTTTGATGGTAGAAGATGCAGACATGATATTAACATATTTCTGGCTACAACTGATGTTTAAATTCTTTCTTGTTCATGTCTCATCCTCCAGACAAAAGTGTGTGTTTTGTTATACACGTCATCTAGTAATAGAGTATCATTCTTTGTACACCTACGTATATATGTATATATATATATTTTTTTTTTTGTCTGAGCGTTACACATCTCAAATGCATTCATGTTTAGGGCCATTCATTCGTCCTGTGACTTTTTTAAATACCCTTTTTAATCACTACAGGAGAAGCCCTGCATTAGATACATATATATATATATATATACACTCACAACTCACAACCAGTATCTTTTCCAAGGTCATGATTATACTTTCCCAAGGTCAAAGTTACAAATTACACTTGAAAGAAAACTTTAGAATGCTTGATATAATATTTTACATTTTGTATTGCATCACTAAGAAAGTAAATTTATTACTGCATCTGTGAGATCAATCAGTTATTAACACTTACTGTCAAAAGATACATATTTTGTGAAGTTAATTTTCAGTTTTTTTCCAAAATTGTACATTTTTTTTGTGTGTTTAATTTTGTGGATAAAAACTTGCTAACAAGATCAACTAGTACTATAGTCTATGTCAACTTTTATTCAATTATCCATTTATAGACATGGTAAATTTGTAGATTTAAACAAAAATAATTCCCCCACAAAAAATAATGATTTAACAGTATATTACAGAAATCTATGATTAATTGCAAAGATCAATTATATTAGATTATCAGTCATCTTTATATCTACCATTCATTCATAGACTGTCTTCTAATTTCTTCCCGTCAAAATCGTTACAAATAAATTGGTTCGTGTTCCTTCGATTGATCTTCACACTGTGGAATACTTTACACAGATAAACATTCCCTCAGGTTTAACTTCTACCTATTTTTCTCTTGTCAACAAGGCAGAAATAAAATGGTGAAATTCTCAGTTAGTGTGAAATAAATGTTATCCTGTTTTTTGGATGAGTTTGTGACTGGCTGAAGACAAACTGTTTATCAAAGGGTGAAAATAAATCTAAACAAAGGTTTCATTGTATGTGTATCATACAGTATTTATACCAAACCATAAGTAATTGTTAAGTTCAGTGTAAGATACAAGCTTTGAAAATCATCAAAGACTTGTATACTCAAAAATCAATTTTATCATATGATTGAGTTATTTGGATTTGAGATTCAAAAATTCCGATTGGCTGATGTTTCCTTATTTGAATCAATTTTAGATATGAAATTGGTTATGGTAGTAAGAACATCATGTCCACAAATTGTAGGAAAGGTATCTTTCTAATAAGTGCAGTTCATCAGAGGTGAATAGATCACCAGGTTTTGTACGTGAAAAACATGTTACACAGGAACTAGTCTTTCTAGAACTTTGTCCATGTATAAATCTTCTGGTAGATTAGTATTGGCCATTATGAAGCTTTTTGTTAAATGGTCTTTACCGTGACCTTGTGTTACAGACCTTTGTCAAGTTCCTGTGTTACAGACCTTTGTCAAGTTCCTGTTGTACAGACCTTTGTCAAGTTCCTGTGTTACAGACCTTTGTCAAGTTCCTGTGTTACAGACCTTTGTCAAGTTCCTGTGTTACAGACCTTTGTCAAGTTCCTGTGTTACAGACCTTTGTCAAGTTCCTGTGTTACAGACCTTTGTCAAGTTCCTGTGTTACAGACCTTTGTCAAGTTCCTGTTGTACAGACCTCTGTCAAGTTCCTGTGTTACAGACCTTTGTCAAGTTCCTGTGTTACAGACCTCTGTCAAGACCCTGTGGTACTGTTCTCTTTCTAGTCTTCTTAGTGCAGGTCTCTTTTAAGTGCCTGTGTTACAAGCCTCTGTTAAGACCCTTTGTTACAAGCCTCTGTTAAGACCATGTGTTACAAACCTCTGTTAAGACCATGTGTTTCAGGCCTCTGTCAAGTCCCTTTGTTGCAGGCCTCTGTCAAGTCCCTGTGTTGCAGGTCTCTTTCAAGTCCCTGTGTTGCAGGTCTCTTTCAAGTCCCTGTGTTGCAGGTCTCTATCAAATCTTTGTGTTACTGTGGTACTAACATTTGTCAAATGCTTGTGGCTTGAAACAGACAACTATTGTCAGTTGTGACTGTTTTGAAGTTAATGCCACTTTAAACTTAAGTTCCCATTTAATGTTTTCAGCATTTGAATGTTCATCTTTATTATCAATTAACAAAATCTAAGTTTGTTTCCTTTTTAGTTGAATGTAATATATTAAATTATCAAAAGATTAACCTCTCATTTGAATTCTCTTTAGAGACATTTGTATCAATGAATTCAGATTGACGAAAGCGAGGGGAATAAATTTATGGTCGTGTGCAACAGTTAATAAAATTATCAGGCCAATTTTTCCTCCATCTTGAAATACAAGGATATTTTTGTCGACACAAAAAGAAAAAAAATTTTTTTTCCTTGCGCAAGATTGCTTTATTTCAGTCAAGACTAAAATATTCTGTCACAGAATTTCATTCAAGGCAATACAGAATGTTACAGAATGTCAGTGTGACTGGAGAATGGTCTATTTAAATGAAATAGAGGTAATATGCATATCCTCTTTGTCATATGAAATGGTATCAGAGTTGCATTAATTCATTCAGTCTTCAATTCAGCTGAATTAATTATCTCACTTGTAGTTATGTGTCGGAAAGACGATTCGCCACTATATAAAGGCCACCTATCAATAAAGGTTACCTCTGTATAAAGGCCACCTCTATCTAAAGGTCACCTCTGTATAAAGGTCACCTATCTATAATGGTTACCTCTATATAAAGGCCACCTGTCTATAAAGGCCACCTGTCTTTAAAGACCACTTTCTCTGTTCCCATGAACGGCCAGAACAAGTCTGGAATTATTCACTTACTATAAAAGTCTAAATTTTCACTGCAGGTCAAATATTTATGGATTTACCAAAAGCATGAAGAAAAAATGATGTAATGATATTTTTTTTCACATTAATTTTGAAATCTTGTTTTCACAGTATCAATTTCTGACAGTTTTGTTTCATTCTCTGAAAAAAATTATAAAAAAAGATCTACTTGAAATAACAATATTAGCCGTATATGTTGTCCTATAGTATCTACTTTACATCATTCTTTATTTACTTATATCAAAGTATTATAGTATAATATTGACTGTGTTGATTTTGTGTATACCTTATGAGAAAAATGTCACAGTTGATTTAATCAAGTGTAATATTTTCTTCGTGTAATATAACATTTTATTTATACAAAAACAATTGTAATATATAATTACTTCAATTTAAATTTCATGACTTTTAATCTGTGTAACAACAGCTTACCAAATACCAGTAGATTATTCACTCTTTCATTTATGTATACAGTTAAGGGAGTATGTCACCTTGTGAAATATACCAATATTTACTCTATCATTTATGTATCCAGTTAAGGGAGTATGTCACCTTGTGAAATATACCAATATAAATTATATTGAGAAAAACTTCAGTTAATGATTATGAATATTCAATAATGTAATGGAAATAAGGCTTTCCTATCGTTAATTTTGTCAAATACAATATGTATTTTGTTTGGCTGTAATGGGCCGCGTTTTAATCATTAACATATACATTATACATATTAAGTGTAGCATTTTACCATGTTTCATGGAAATAAACCCTCCCACATATCATTTTTCTAGTTTTCAGTATAAAATGTTTAATTATTGTCTAGTAACTATTTCAAGGTTATGTGTTAGCCCCCTGGGCTTATTGGGAAATAAAAATAATAGGTATGAACAAATTTAGGACTTGTGCTGAAAGTTACATTGTGATTTTTACAACAAGCATTTTAGCAGGTGGAAATCTTCACTTTTCAAAGAACATTTTAGTGTAAGAAGGTCTGATGTCAAGGTCACAGACTTCAAATTCTTCAGGGAGGAGGGGGGGAGTTCTCCTTGTAGTACTGACAGAGCTAATGTGATGGCCTATTATTACAAGTAGATGTACATGTATGATAAGCAAGTAATAGTTATAACTGGTTTCTTTTCTTTTTGCCAAATTTTCTGTCAT